AGGAAACAGGATGCGAACGTGATGGTCAATAGTACATCATTGAAAGTGATGAGTGTTGAGAGATGCGATGGCGAGATGGCATTTCAAGGGCAAGTGTGGGGGGTTGAAACAACTGACAGTGCCCACGAGGGAAGAGGAGGACAGAGTTCAGACCAGCACGAGATTTATTGAGGACATAGTTGAGTTCTGTCCGAATGTGAAATATCTGAATGGGTAACGCTTCGCTTTGGACGAGATGAACGATATAACGTGTGATGAGAAGTGGATGATCTCGCTGGAGACCTGGGAGAAGTTCAACGAGACTTGCACTAGTTTGCGGGAATTCCACTGGGTCGTTGTGCCCTTTGCAGATCCATTCTTTCGAGTATTTGGAGATCATGTTAAGCCAAATTTGAAGAAGTTGACACTGACGTCGAATTTATCGTGGGACCGAGACGAGTATTTTACACGAGATGGGTCGACGGGCTTCTCCACCGAGAAACCTGGTTACGGGCTGCTTGCAAACGATGTGATTGCCATATTTAAGGGTTGTCCCGGGCTAACTGAGCTGGAAGTTGCTATCGACGAAGAGAAAAACATGAATGATCTTGCGCCTTTGCTTGACGCTGATATCTTTGGAGACAAATTTTGGGAGGCCGTCGCTCAGTCCTGTCCGCTGTTGCAATCTGTGTATGTGCACGACTGCTCTGCCTATGGAGGGAGTCGTATCGTCAGACCGATCGAAACATTCACGGATCGAGGGCTACTTGCACTTGCAGAGCACTCGCGCTTAGCTTCAATTGAGCTGTCGGCCGTGTGTTGCTCTGGAGATGGCGTATTTCAGTTCCTGCAGCGCTTCTTTAGAATGAAACACTATGTTGGAGGGAACCGCACACTTGACTTGAGTCTCGCAGGCCCAATTTACCACGACACTGCGCTGCCACATCCATTCTACCTCGAGCTTATGACACTACTAAAGCACCTCGCCAAAACAAGCGAAGAAGAATTGGGTGCGAGCTCGTGCAGCTTCAAGGCATCACTGAACATATTCAATCCGCACAGCGCATCGGTTGACAAGGATTGGAGTGTTCCCTACGTACGCGACGAGCTGAATCCTATCCTTGAAAAGGTGGCGAGCGCACATCCGTCTCTCGATCTTCATATCATTCTCTGCAGAGACAACGACGAAAGCTTTCGCCTGATTGAACACCTCGAGCTCGACTGGTCTTCTGGGTCTCAAGAGGGAGAAATATTCTTTGAGAATGAATATTTAGGGGACTCGGACAATAATGATGGTGGGAGCGATGAAGAGGATGAATTCTTCGATGATGAAGATCGTCCTCTTAACCCTCACGAGATTTTCTTTAGGCGCCATGCCATGTTCATGGACGACGAGTACGAGATTGTTCCAGCTGACGAAATCGATGAGGATGATGCAGTCTGAGCTGTCGTGAGGACAGCGTTCGGTATTCTAAAGATCAACAAAAAAGGCAACAAAGTCTGGCCATAAGATAGCATGCGTTTGGGTACTATAATAAACTGGCATTTCACGGAACTTGGTATTTTTATTAAATAAAATTAATTTAGGTTAATGATGATGATGCACATCACACGCTCACTTTAGTTCACTATGACAGGCCAGCAACACACTTGGCTGCTTGGTGTCGGCCTCGCAGTGGCGACAATCTCCCTTTGCGTCGCCATTCATGCAAGCGCCTTAATAACGATTGCAACTGCATGTGTAGCTGCTTATCTCCCTTCATACTTGGACGGCTCAGAGTACAC